CAGGACTCAAAGTGTAGTCAGCCACGTGGGAGTGTCCAGGGCCTTAACCACCACACCACCTGCTGGTCCCCTTAAGCCTCTTAATACACCTGAATTGGATATGAGAGGGAAAGTAAGAAATCACTCCCAAGGGAATGGCCACACCACAATCTCTTCTCCATTCTCCCCTCAGGATTTTGGGCATAGGCACACATGCACCTGGTGTGGTTTTCCAGTCCTAGGTCCAAGACTTGAACCATTGTTGACCATGTCGGAATCCAGTGTCTTAAACACCATGTAATGTGTGGGCCCAAAATGATAACTAAGTATGTTTATCTCAACTATTTTAGTTAATTTTGTGTTAACAGAATTACCTAAGACTGGGTTACTTACAAAGAAAATAAGGGTTTATATGAAAAACTCACAATTCCGGTGGCTGTAAAGTCCAAAGGCATAGGCCTACAGCACATGCAAGAGCTGTACAGAGGATAGCGAACATGTGCAGAGAGAGAAGCTGTCCGTAGGTCTCTCTTTTATAGCAACCAATTCTTGTGAGAATCCCTAGAGAGAGCTAGAACTTACTAGGTCTCATAAGACATCATTAATCAATTTATGACAGTGTTGCTTCCATGAAGCAATCATCAGGAACCACTCGCTAGGCTTCACCACCTCCCAACATCAAATTTCAAAACATGACTTTGGGGCACAAATCAAAAGTTATCATCTGAACCATAACACTATCCCTTTAAAATCAACAGCTGCAATGATTTCTCTTCAGAAGGCAGGAATTCAGGACATCATATGTATCTTCATCTTCAAAATTCAAGCTTAAACCTAAGATAATTCAAAGGAAGAACAGATAATAAATAAAATAAAATAAAATAAAGCAATAATTCCAAATTAATCTTTATGCTGTGTAAATGATATTAGAATTCAGGAGAGGACCAGCAGATGACGTTAATGGTTACGTTGCTGGACTCCCACATAGTTGACCATGGTTCTAGTAACAAACCCAGTGCCTTAAAACTCCCACCAGGTGCAGTTCAAGTAACAGACCTAGCAGCTTAAAACTCATGCCAGGTGCATTTGCCTGAGATCCCGAGAGGAGAATGGAGAAGGGCTTGCTGCATGGCCATCCCACCCAGGGGGTGATTTCTCACTTTCTGTCTCTCTGTCTCTGTCTATTCAGCACTCTATGGCAAAAATCTCTCCAAACAACAAAAAAAAAGTGAATTGAGAATTGAACTCTATAATTTCCTCAGGAGAATCAGTGCAAAACACTATGAGTTTTATGGGGTGGGGTGGGGTGGGGTGAGGGCTTCAAAAAGTACATGGAAAATTATATTCCCCTTATACACCAAGAATTATATGCTATTTATGAATCATCTGCCAAATTTTTGTTTGGGTCTTTTTATTCTATGCAGTCTGAATTAAAAAAAATTTTTTTTAAAGAACTATACTATTGGACCGCGGGACGTCGCGGGCCCTTCCGGGCTGTGCGTGTCCCCCCTGGGGCCCGGCTAAGCCGGCGGCGGCAGGAGGCGGGCGGGCGCCAAGGCTGCGTCTGACCGCGGGACGTCGCGAAGAGCAAGAGACAGATTTACACTTTACCTGGAAAAAGAAAAAGTGGACAAATTATATAAAACTTTAGTTTTCAATACATAGGACATCAGACAAAAAGAACATAATCCCAGAGAGAAGGGGAACAAGTGAAGTGAACCCAGTCATTGCCCCAGTGTCTTCATACACCCTGGGGTGTACCAGTTCAGCTGTTGGCCCTCTCCTCAAAAGTCTGAGTTTCATTCACGGGACCTCCTCCTCCCAGCATTTACATCCTAACATGCCATCTCTTTCCATTTGCTCCTGCAGCTGAGTTATGCTGCTACTTTTTCTCTGTTACCTCCAGGTAACTTTTTTAGTTCTCGATACTAGCTTCAATTATTCTGCATATTCAGATCTCTCTAATGTGTGATTTCTAGTTTTCCAACTGGTATAGAATTCTGCTATGTGTCAAGTAATGAACTAGGCCAATTATACTATTTACACTTTTTAAAAAAAATAAAATCCAATGTGGTAGATAAAAACCACCCTTTTAATGATTAAGAAGTTTAAACCTTAGAAGGGTTAAATAATTTTCCCAAGGTTATGGAGATGCCCATGATACCTCCAGGATTCAAATCTATCTCATCATAAAGGCTTCACTCTCTGTCACAAGTAATATTATACTTGGACAAAGGACTTTGAAAGGAAAGAGAGACTTTTGCCATTACTCCCGGCTAAAACCAGGATAACATGTGTCACTTTAAATAATTTCATTTTAATGCATTTAAAACTAGAAAGCATCTGATATTTTAAAAATGCATTGAAAAGCTAGTGCTTACAACAATCTTCTTCATGATTGGATGATATACCATATTTTGATAAATTATAAATATCTTCCTACCAAAACTAACATTGTAATCATTGAGTTCTGGTAGACATTGAAGGCTAAAGGGGTAGAAAAATAACTTGGCCTGAAGAATTCTATAAATATGATTTCAATGCTTATAATAAAGTATTGGAATTTACTGTCTGCTTGACTTCTTAGTGATGTATGTGGTGACCTTTCAACACCAAGCACAGGTTCGTCAAATGTGGAACATTAGAGTTCTTACATGCAAGATATAACATCTTATGCTTGGCAATATTTTGCTTTGTCTTTTCCCTTTTGGAAGATTTATAATAAAAAACAAAGTATAAAAAAAAAAAAAGGAGGGAGAAGAGGATAAAGACAGCAGTGAACAATAGAGAGGCAGGATGTTAATGAGAAATAGATATGGTTTATTACCTGTTGATGATGACATGTATAGTATTCTCAACTGAACCGGTCTGGGAAGTATTTCATGATGGGTGAAGTCTTTTTAATAAGCAAAATGAGAAATAGTGATTGACTGTTTAAAAAATTATAATAATAATTATTGGGAAAAGCATGGAAAAGATATTGAATGATAAAGCGGGGAGATTGATATCTCTGTATTGACTGACATGCATGGCATTCCCTTTTGAAAAAGCAATGGAAGTCAATGTAAAGTTATATGTAATCTAGTGTAATAGAAAGAAGATTATGATGATAATAAAATAAAAAAAAAATAAAAAATAAAAAAAAAAGAACTATACTATTTAACCCTATTTACATATTTATTTTCATTTGACCAGAGAGGGACAAAATGAGAGAGAAAGTGAAGGAAAGTGAGAAAGCAAGCTGCCAGGCCCAGGACTTGAACCACATAGGAGTCCAGCACTCCCAACCACCACGCCACCCACCGGCCCCTAGTCTGAATGTTTTTAATTTGTGTCAAATACATTTATATTTCTTCTAAACTGGTTAAAAAAAAAACTGATTTGACAAAGTAAGCTTTCAGAGTTAATCTTGAATCAACCATGATTCTCTCTCTGTCATGGGTGATAGATACCCATATGCAGTTTAAAAACACAAAAACGTTTTGAAGCACCTGTACCTCACGTAACTGGCTTCAGAAATGGTATCTGACATATACTGGGTACAAAATCAAGAACTGAATAAATAAATCACAACTTGGTCTTTGCTATATTTAACATACTATTAGGTATCAGGAAAGTCATGATGCATTTTTCTATGTTTTTCTATGCAAAAATGTGTCATGACTTTCTCAATGACCCAATAATATCAAGTGATTGTAACTGTGAGACCATACAAAAAGCTAGAGTGGGTTGGCTGATGGCCTGGTGGTTAAGGCGCTGGACTCACACATAGCCAATCACAGTTAGTGGCTTGCTTTCTCACTTTCCCTCTCTCTGTCTCTGTCTCTCATCAAATTAAATAATAATAATAATATAAATAATAAATAAAATTAAATAAGTAATTCTTTAAAAAGCTACAGTGATTGGGATTCCTGAAAAACAAAGTACGCCTTTTATCATTATATATAATCTGCCTTAAATGCACAGAAAGAGGACATTTTGCTCCACTTTTCTCTGTATCTTCCTATATGCACCGCTCATGTGTTGTTGTTTCACTTCCTTTATGAGAGATAGGAAAAATGCAGACTTCTTAGCACATAGTAAATTCAGTATCATTGATATCATCATCTTCATTTAGGCACTGAATAATAATTACTAAAAAAAAGTAGGGCCAGCCAGGCAGAGTTGTGGTTAAGACAGCTGGATTCCACAATGGCCAACTGTACAGTTTGAGTTCCCACCAGGCAGCTTAAAAAACACACTGAGCATGTATCTATCATGCCCAAAATTCCAAGAGGAGAATGGAGGAGAAAGGATTGTGGTGTGGTTATCTCCTATGGGGGAGGGGGCTCACGGAGGGGGAGCTTTCTCATTTTCTTTCTTTCTACCTCTGTCTCTCTCGACCTGTGTCTCTCTCCAGTAAGTGCATGCTTTCTTTAGCAAACTAAAAGAAACAAAAAAAGTAAATTTATTTTTCTAAAAATTCCAGTATTTCTTAAAAAGTTCAAATTATAATTAAATCTTTGATTGTTTTACTAGTATTATTAAGGTGGGTGGAATACACTATACTATACCAGTATTGTGGTTATTCAATAGTTTAGTAAATTTCTATTATTGTAGCTATACACAGACTGAAGCTAACCTGAAAGGAAAATTACATGAAAATCATCAAAGTAGGGAAAATATTTTTTCTTTCTTTCTTCCTTTCCTTTCCTCTTTTTTTCCCTTCCTCCCTCCCTCCCTCCCTCCCTTCCTTCCTTCTTAGGTTCTGTCATAGGGCACATGTGCACCACCATGTCTGGCCCATTCAAGCAGATCTGGAATTTGAACATGGGCCTCCCATGTGGTCCCAGCCTCACTCAACAGCACCCTACCAGCTCTGCCACTGCAGCTGGGCCTAAGGTTCTATTTTTTTTTTAATGAAAAAGTAATGAATAAGAATCCATTTCCGTATAACAATTTGCCCATTTCTATGATAGGCATTAAAATACTGGCACAAGAAATACAGATAAATCCAAATAGACTGAGCCAAGGGAGCAAGGTATTTCATAGAAAGCATTTTATTATCAGAACAGTATGGTTCCCTATGTTCAAGATCTATTTATTATGTTATTTTTACAAGTAGCAAAGTCCCTCCACATTGTTCCAGGTGAGCATACATTGATATAAAAGCTATTGGTTTCCACACTGCCTGCCCCCACCCCCACTCGTTAGGGTTAATAGGAAGTTGTGGCCTATGTGCAGCCTCCTAAAGTAGCATTGGCTCCCTCTTTAACTCAGTCTTGAACTCTAGCAGGCTACTCAGTCATCCTCTTGCTGATTTCTTTTCTGTCAAAAAAACCCAAGAGTATGTTAAAATAACACATTATAATTGAGATATTTGCTCATCCACAATTCCATTGCTGTTCAGCAATTTATAATTTTCTACAGGCTATGGCAGAAAATGTGGCTGAAACTTATCATGGAAAGCCATGCCTTAACTAATTTGATAACTTTGCCACTTGGGCTCCTAGCAAATTATCCTCAAGATTTGAATATTCTCAGGTAACTAGCAGTTAGCATAATGGCTATGTCGCTGGATTCCCATGTGGTCGACCTCAGTTCGCGTCTCAGACCTGGTGGCTTGGACTCGCACTGGGCGCGTGTGCGTGCTTGCCCAGGATCCCAAGAGGAGAATGGAGGAGAAGAGATTACGGCGTGGCCATCCCCCCGGGGGGTGTTTTCTCGCTTTCTGTTTTTCTGTCTCTGTCTCTCTGGTGAGCGCACGCACCCTATAGCAAAGAAAAAAAACCTCTCAAAAAAAAAAAAGATTTGAATATTCTCAGGACCAGCAGATGGCATCATGGTTACATTGCTGGACTCCTACGTAGTCGACCATGTTTTGAGTGATGGACCTGGTGGCTTCAAAGACATGCCAGTCGCACATGGGTGTGTGCCCAAACTCCTGAGAGGAGAATAGAGGAGAAGGGATTGCAGTGTGGCCATCCCCCCCAGGAAGTGATTTCTCGCTTTCTGTTTCTCTTTTTCTCTGTGTCTCTCCGTGAGTACACACACCCTGTAGCAAAAATCTCTCTTTCCAAAAAAAAGAAAAAAAAAATTTGAATATTCTTTTCTCTTTCTTCCATCCATATAGATATTCTACATGGACACACTAACAGAAATACAAATATTCACACTCCTCCTTAAGTAACCACAGTAGATATTTGAGCTCCTTGTAACTCTATACCAATATACTCACTTTTTCAGCTAGGAGGATTATAAAACTTTTGCAAAAAGCCTATACAAGCAAAGCCTGTACAAACAGTTTCTATCATTCTAATCAATAAAGTATTCCTTCAGCTCACATCTCATATATTATTACAAAATTTATCTAACTCAGAAATTTTGTTCCTTGAATTCATAATTATTAAAAAAATCTAGGTGGCATAACACTAAAATGAAATATTAAAAAGCAAATCTAAAAAAACAGTGAAAAGATGACCAGCATATGAAATACACGTATACTTTACCAGTTTAAGAAAATCTATTAGTTTGTGAGCGTCTTCCCCAGTAGAGAGGTCCACAAAATCCTTGGGCAGTCGGTAACTCAGATAGGGGCTGGGTTGAACTGTAGCTTCACTGTTTGTGCAGCGGAAAGCTGGAGAATCCTTTACAAAGAAAAAAGAAAGCCTATGAATAGTTGTTTTTTCGGGTCTATTCTCTCAACTGAAAAAGAATCCAGCTAACAATTTCAACTATATATTCTCTTCTGCATAGATAAGGATGAAATAAGATCCTAAAGTAAAAGAAAGCACCCAAGGTTTTTATTTAATTCTATATATACATCAGGAAATACATACAAGGCATCTTATATTTATTTAAGCAACTTCTCTCTTGGAGAGCTCTCTTAAAACAACTTCTCTCGTGGAGAGCTAGGTCAATCCCTAGATGCTAGCAGTATGTAGCTGTGCAAGCTGCAAATGGGTTATGGATCTCTCCCTTTTTTTATTGTTCCCCAATTTCCTATAGAGTGCATGCATATCCAGAGAGAAATAAACAGAAAGAGAGCACATGCATGAAAGTGAGGAAGCACTCCCCTCGGGGGATGGCCACACTGCAACCCCTTCCCCATTCTCCTCTCTGAATTTTGGGCACACATGCCAGGTACCCAGCATGTTTCTCAAGCTACCAGGTCCAGGACTTGAACTGTGCAGTCAGTCATGTGGAAACCAGCTATCTTAACCACCACACCAGTGGCTGGTCACAAGTTATGGAACACTTCAGCTCCTAAATGGTCCAGGACCCAGGCCCAATTATCTCTGGCTTCTAGCAATCTCGTTTAGACAAGAATGCTCTATAAATATTACTATCTGCTATACATGTACAGTTGGGAAGTTCTGTCTTAGAGAATAGTTAACAGTGAGACAAATGAGTGCTTTGAATTCCTTAACACTTTTGTACTTCTCTTAGGTCATTTATTACACTATGTCTCTCCGTCATATCTATGTAAAACTGCAAATTCAAGCGCCATTTATCAAGTCTTTACATTTTTAAATGTCCTTGCTTAAAGCCTTACATATATTTACATGTTTCTTTGTACCAAAAAGAAATTCAGAGACACAGGCCAGTCAGTGACATGGAGATTAAGGCAACTGGATCCCACATAGCCAACTGTGCAGTTCAGGTCTCGGGCCTGGCAGCTTGAAAAATACACCAGGTGTGTGTCCATGTGTGTCCAAAATCTCAAGAGAATGGAGGAGAAGGAACAGTGGCCATCGCTCCCTGGGGAGTTATTTTTCACTCCATTTCCTTGTCTCTCTCTGGTGAGCACGCACAACCTGTAGCAAACTAAAAAGGAAAAAAAACAAGGAATTTCAGAGAGAAAGACCTTGATTTTGGCCTTCCCTGTGGCAGATATCTAGGTGAGGATGGATGGTGTCTAACAGGGGGAACAGGCTGGGAATTTGCATGGATCAGGAAGTAGGCTCCATCTTACGACAGATCATCACCTGATAAAGAGTTATAGATGTCTATTTTGTGTTCATCTTCTTCTATGCATGGGAGATAAACTGATAAAAAAGACTGGAGATAGACAATGAGCAAGTAAAGAAGTAAATTGACAAGATCATTTCAGATAGGAAAAGTGTTATGAAAATAAAAAACAGAGCGCTAAGATAAAAGGATAACAACGTAGACCACTTTAGGGAGTAGCCAGGCTAAGACCTGACTAAAGAGGTGAAACTATAGCTAAGAACTGAAAAAAGTGATGACGGCAGCCTTGTGAGACTCCAGGAATAGTGCTCTATTTGAAGGCCATGGAAACAACTAATGCAAAAACCTTAAGCCAAGATGTGGCTTTGTAGGTTTGTGGAACAGCAGGAAGGCCAGGTCTCTTGGGTCTGACAGGTCTCTTGGGCCTGAGCACTGGGAAGATAGGCAGGAGGTGATGCTGTAGAAAGAAGCAGGAGCCAGTTCCTGTTTCCCTTTTGTCATCTCCCTCACTGCTAACATTTAGTAACAATGAATAAATAAAGTATTTGGATCACAGAGTTAATAGCATATGAATTGTTTCTATCCAATAATTGTGTCCCTCATATTTAAACTAATATCTGTGTTAAAAATTTTTCATTGTAACTGCAGGTTGAGTATTCCTTACTCAAAATTCTCAGAAACATTTTTGAATTTTGGATCTTTTCTGATTTTGGAATATTTGCATATATATATATATGTAAAATAAGTTATCTTGGTGACAGGATTGGAGTCTAAACACAAAATTCATTGAATTTTCAAATACACCTTTGATATATTCCCTAAAGGTAATTTATACAGCATTTTGTTTAGACCATGACACATCACATTAGGTCAGGTGTGGAATTTTCCACTTGTGCATCATGTTGGCACCAGAAAGGTTTTGGATTTTTAAGCATTTCAGGTTTGGATTTTTGGATTAGGGCTGTTCTACCAGTATTAGTAAATCTGAGTCAGACTATGTACTTTCTAAGGGCCCAGGTCGCTACCTCCTTCCATATCAAGCAAACAACTACACAGTAGAGTAAAAATTTTCATTCTAACTTTTTTTTAACATGCCTTACCTGTTCCTGAGCATCTCCTTCACTAAAATCACCTTTTAAGTTTCTTCCTGATATTAGTTCTTCCCAAGTAAACAGGAGTGAGTCTGTGACTTCACCAAATGGATTAAAGTCAATTAGCCACACCTTCCCCTACAATACAGAGAGAAAAAAATAAGTATAAAGTAAGAACAAACACAGGTCTATACTCTCTTTTACTAAAAAAGTAATCTTCATGGCCAAGCCTCTACAGCACAGTCAGTGCTGAGTCAGACTGCAGAGCTGGAAGCTACATGCCAACTGCAGTTCGAGTCCCTAGCCAAGAGGATTTGAAAACATGTCAGGTACAAGTGGATGTGCCCAGGATCCTGATGGGATGGAGGCCTAGAGGAGAGGGAATGCAACAGACCAAGCTCTGTGGAAGGTGTTTTCCCTCTGTCTTGCATACGCATGTGTGCATACATGCACTCTATCAGTAATACATTTTTTAAAAAGATATTCTTCGAAACTTGAAGCCTAGAAACAGGTTAGTATTTTGTTCAAATAGTAGGTACATGAATCTATTGACAGCTCAAGACAGGATAAAAATCCTTAAAACCGGACAACAAAGCTTAGAAGAAAAGCAGCAGTATCTTAGTCAATTCACAGAGTGCTGTTTCATCAGTTCAGACTCATGTACTTAATCTTTCTTCTGTTACTGTTGAGGTACGATCTTCCAGATTGAACTCTGGGATATAATACTCAACTCCAGACTTTGTCCCTACAAATAAGTTGCCCATTTTCTTAGTTTTTCAACTCTTATTTCTGTGTGTCTGCATTTAATTTTACTGACATAGCACTCCCTTAAGAACTTCTTGGAGATCTGGTCTGGTGCTGGTAAATTCTTTCAAGTTTTGTTTATCTTGGAATGTTCTTGTCTTTTCTTCCCAAATGAACGATAACCTTGCTGGGTACAGAATTCTCGGTTGAAATTGCTTTTCCCTTAATACTTTGAATATATTTTCCCATTCTTTCCTCGCTCGCATTGTTTCTGATGAGAGATCTGCTGTTAGTCTGATGGGATACCC